ATAATTCTTTGGTACAAAAACAAAAATTGAAAGAGTGTTAACATCAACCAATTTGGTTGAGCTGGTTCGCCACCGGCGTGTGTGAGAAGGTTGGCAAGCGATTCCCCTGGCTCAAAACTTTTTAATTAAATAGTGAGATGTTACTCATTGGGCTCTAATTAGTTAGAAGGACTACAAAAAAATTGGGCCTTCAGGATTTTCGGGCCCTGTGCGATCGCACAGGCGGCACTTGGCCTGGGCCGGCCCTGCGTCTATTGCGACGGGTGGCGTCCGCGTCAGGGGTGGAGGTGGTGGCATATAGGCACTAGATCTCGTGCGATTCTATGCGGCAATATGTAGATCCGTATTGTGTAACTTTGTGGTTGTGTTTTGTAATATAAATTCAGGCTTTTCATTAAGGGTATTTTTGTCAAGCTAGGTCCTTTTTACACATACGGGTTATTAGAGTCTTATTTGTGAACTTTTATTATGAATCAGTCCTACTTAGGTAATAATCTCTTGTTTAAGTCATATCTAGGTGGATACTCAATTATGTTAAATGAAATATATCCTTAATAGCAAATATTTTGTATTTAATTATACTTGGCTCTCCTGGAATTATTACTCTCATACGGTCATTTAGACAAGTGGACGCTCCCTTTGATGACTTTTCGTCATATAGTTCATCCTATAAAAAAAACCGTACCCGTATTGTGACTATTGAAGCGGTTCAGTTCATTTTGATCTTACACCTAAACCCGTTCAGTACGGTTCCATTTTCAAATGGGACGGTATCATGTCATATCAATATCAAACAATGCCACTTTTTTCAAGCGTTTAAGAGAAATTTTTTGTTTACCCATCCTTCAAAAACTCACACAATTTATCAATTTTCATATTTTCATACTACCTCCGTCCCAAATTGATTTGTAAAGTCAATCTTTTTTTGATCAAACAGTTTCTTTTTATTTACTTAATTACAATATCACTTTTTAATTATATTCTAATTTGACCTTTCAAACAAAAGTACTCCGTATATTCTAATTTGGATTTTGCAACTTTAAAGAGATTTTAACGTGGTTTCTAAATATGTAAATTTTAATTATCAAAAATCGTACTCCGTATTAATTATCAATAAGGAGGACTTAACATTAACATTGGTTGCCCAACAAATGTTGGCTTTGCAAATCAATTTGGGACGGATAGAATAATTAATAAATTTCAGATAAACTATAATACTACAAATTTAAATAATTAAACCATACTTCGGTCCGGTATCGATTCTCATTTTATGAGAACCCGTCATGACATTGTTTAGAACCAGTACCGTCCGGTACGATACAAAAAAATTTGAGATCCGTTTCAAACCCGTTTATCGGTCTGGTACCATACCGGTCCGATTCGTTACCATGTCGGTTTGGTATTTTTTCCCGCCCCTAGTTCATCTATGGCATTCTTAACTCAATCTTTGATATTTTTTGTGTCTAATATTACAAATATCATAACCACTAAATTAACTATTGTGGAGAATTATTTATCTTGGTGCACCCTTCACCCTTTTGATGGAGTCATTATATTCCATCTCTCCCGAATTATTTATCAGGCTGGCTTGCTCCATGAAACTTGAGCGATTACTTACTTAAGTTGAAAAGGGTGATGATCAATCTATGGAGACTTATTTATGAGAAAAATTCAGGCAAAAATAAAATACATCTCAAAAAACAAAAGTGTAACAATTAAAAAAGCATGAATTTCAGGCAGAGTTGAGTTAAAATTGTGAATCAAAAGAAAGAAAAAAATAATCATGATCCGAAGCGATGCACGAACCCTAGAGAGAAGCCGCCGCCGCCGATATTGAGGATGAGTCATCTGGTTGAGAACGTCTAGGATGTGGGAGTCGTCCGAAGAAGACCAACGACAAGGCAGTGACCCTAGTTTTTTTTTTCAGATTTGTTTTTTTTGTTGTGGCATCCGACTGAGGTGCGTCTCTGGCTGAGGAATGTTTGCGTTTCTTCTGTAAACGTGCATCTTGTCGCTCTGTTTTAGTGTTGTTAGTCTTGCTTGTGCGGTTTTTAATTTGCCCTATGGAGAAAATAGCTGAAGAATATGGGAAGGTGTTGATTGAGGAAGAATAAAATAATGGGTTGGTGTTTGAATTTGAAGCGCTAAATGCTAGTAGTGGGACATGAGAGAACCCACGCTTCTCTGCTATTGCTAGGGTTGTCACAGACAAACCTGTCCGTCCTATCTCTTTCCGAGAGACTATGGCAATGATTTGGCGCCCGAGTAAAGGGGTGAGTATCGAACAAATAGGTGTGATGGATTATGGGGTATCCAAACATATATATAAAATGGAGAGATTGAGCTCAAGAAATGTGGAGAAGATGAATGAATAGTAATGTATGAATGACTTGTGTTCTAGGGTTACAAGCTCCAAAAGGAGTATAAATAGAGAAATAATGGGTCAGGCCGTTAATATGGGCCCGATAGGCCCAACTACATAAAAGACTAATCTAGTACATACAAATGATATAAATGACGTCCGATAAGCGTGTGTGGGCCGCTGTCCGGGCCCAATAGTCGTGAGACCCGGGGGTCCGAGTCTATATACTCCATCAAGGAGATATGTGTTTTATGATTCAGTTCTTTCATGAGAACGATATCTCACGAATTCTGCAACACGGGCCGTGGTCTTATTACCAAAAGTTAGTTTTATTAATAGAGTGGAAGCAAAGGATAGACCACATGAGGTTGAGCTGAACTGTGCAGAATTCTGGGTGTAGATCCACAACTTACCTCTCAATTTTATGACTAAGACTGTGGCGATTGGTATTGGTCGATACCTAGGGAAGCTGATACGAATTGATGAAAGAACTTTGAAGGGGAAAAGTAAAGAGTTTGTTCGCATACATGTGTGGATAGATATAAGAAATGATCTGAAGAGAAGAATTCAGATTAGGGAAGAAGGAGATAGCTGATTCTGGGCGTACTTTAAATACGAAAGGCTTCCAAATCTTTGCTTTATTTGTGGAGTTCTAGGACATACTAACAAACACTGCCCGTCAAACACAAGTGTGGGATCATGGATGGGGATAAGCCGTATGACCCTTGGATGAGGGCAAACTTGAGACAGGGAGGAACCCACCCAGGGAATAAATGGCTAATCCCAAGTTCAGGGCATGAGCAGAAGAATACAATGGAAATAGGTGTCGACAGAGTCAGTTGATAGGATGCCAAGAAAGGGGCACAGAGTCGAGATGTTATTTGGTGCATGGGTTGATCTCAAAAGGGAAAGAGAAAATGGGAGCGAAAGAAGAGAAAAATCAGGAGAGAACTCTAGAGAAGGCGAATCCAGGAAGCACAAGGCAATGGATTTGGGGGACCTAATGGAGGTTGAAGTTAATATGGAGGTAGATGGGATGAAATAAAAAAATGGCGCTACGATGGTGCTATTGAATCAGCACTGCCTAGAAATTCAGTAATTGCTGAAAGTGGGAGTATTCCTTTGGAAGTGGCTAGACAAACCTCTTCTTCATTCCTAATGGCTAGTGAAATCAGTTTGGCATCTTTGGAGCTGGTAAATATAACTTCTTCTCCCTTGCTGGTGGCTGGTAAAACCAGGACTTGTGATTCTTTTGTTTCTTTCCATCATTTGAGCTCTAGTTTTTTATACTTTTGTCTTAATAGTAAGTACAACGATGATGTTAGAATAGCTTACCATTGAGCGGAGTTAGCGATCTCGCATGGCCTTCTGAAACTAGTTAGTTTTATATCTCACTTTAGGGTTGCTTTGAGCTATTGCCCTGCTTTCTCTATGTTTACTTTCATTATTATTAGTAAATGAGTGTTTTTCTTTAAAGAAAGGATGATTTTTTATGATGTCTTCGACTTTTTTGGTTTTGAATGAAACAAAAAAAGTCTCACTCTTGCCAAAATCATAACATAATAGTATAATACTACGTAATTCTATTTTCATGGTAAACTCCGCCTTCTCATTAAATAAGCAAATCATTCTCCAACTCGATCACAACCCGATCAGGAATAAAACTCGTGCTAAAACTGAGATGTGGCTGAAAAATGCTCGACCTTAGCTTGTAAGTGCATGCGTAACACAATTAGCAGATCTATTACAAAAAGATACTACTTCCGTCCCAAATTGATTTGCAAATTTGACTTTTCTTGGTCAAATAGTTTCATTTTATTGGCTTAATACCATGTTAATTCTTAATAGTATTCTAATTTGGAGTTTGCAACTTTGACGAGATTTTAATGTAGTTTCTGAATATGTAGATTTTATTTATTAAAAATTGAATTAAATATCAATAGGGAGCATTGACTTTTAATATTGGTTGACAAAAAAATGTTGACTTTGCAAAACAATTTGGGACGGAGGGAGTAGGAAATATGAGGATGCACCTCAAGGAGATATCTAATATCATCAAACCATAAATGTAAGTAAGAAAAACCCTTATCTTTTCACATTGCTTGGACCACCGTCAATGCATCTGTCTCGATGTCCACTTGATTCCAACCCACTTGGCTTGTCCAAATGATCGCCTCTCTATCCCTATCGCCGCCTCATATTCCTCAGGTGATCACTCCGCAGTTTTAGAACCGCTATTAAATATTTATTACACAATAATGTTCAAGTATGTACAATTAATTTTTGGGAAAAATTCTGAAATATGAGTAAAAACATATGGAGTATTAGGATTTCAATACAAGATTATCATGTTTTTATTTCACAAATAGAAGTAATTACTTTGAAATTTGAAAAATATTGTCATATTTCAAATCTACTATTTAGGAAAATTATCTTTTACTTTTCCCATACATCAAAATAATTTATTCACAAAGTGTAAATGTATAAAAATAGAAATTTTAACAAATTCCTTAAAAAAAAGAAATAATAAGAAATTTAGAGTTTTATTTGACCATAAAAAGTAATCAAGCCCATTACAAAACAGAAAATGGCTGGGCCGCCTACTCCGTATAATGTAGCCCAAAATTGCACGACAGGGTTTGTACGTACAGGGTTTGTACGTTTCAACCTTCGAGATTCTGTGGTGCCAAAACTGAGAAGTAACAAGCTCAGAAGAAGCCAGCACCCAATCCCGAGAAAATGGAGGCTGAGAAGAAGCCAAAGGCCGGGATGGTATTCTCTTCTCTATTTTCTTCAACAAGGTTTTTGAATTTCCTGTAATATCTTATTTCTCGGTTTATTAAAAGATGTCGATGCATCTTCTATTTTCCCCCGTTAATAAGCATGTAGTTTCTCTTTAGGTGCCAAACGAGGGACAAAAATAGTAAATATTTCGCTACTTCTGCTTAATCTTTTTTATTTTCCTGGGATTAGAAATATTTGCTAGTATCTGATGCTTGAACTTACTATAGTGACAGGGTTATTGTTTTTTTACTGAAATTTGTTGATTTCTTAAAGACTATTCTGTTATAATTTATTATAGTGACAGGAGTATACTTTATTGTTTTTTTTTTATATTTTCTGTAATTCATTAATATAAATTTGCATTGAAACAGAGGATTACACTTCATTGTGCAATGAGCCTAAGCTATTTGCAATCCTTAACATTGTCTACACAATGCCATACACAATACACAGTTTCAAACATTTGGAAGAAAATAAATAAATATAATATTATATTAGATTGTAATTTATCTATTTCCTAAATGGCGTACACGTGTGCCTCTCTTGTTCAAAAATGTATAAGCAGATGAATGTAAATATTAAAAGGGTTTTGCTAAGCAATACTCTTATTTGGGCATTGGTTAAGGAATTAAAACAGAAAGTTTTTCTACTCCATACATGTTTCACTGCATTTGTCACTCATCCCAATTAAAAAGTTTACATTTGATTTCTTAAATAGATTCCCAAGGGTACTTTTTTGCTTTTCCCCCTGTAACTGATTCCTTACTCTGCCTGACAAGTTTTTTGTTATTCAAGTTGAATTTGTAACTGTTTATGAAACATGTAATCCTGCTAATGAAATTCTTATTGTTTTGCTTTTCCTAGACTGTACCAGTTAATCCCAAACCTTTCCTGAACAGTTTGATTGGGAAGACTATTATTGCAAAACTCAAGTGGGGAATGGAGTATAAAGGCACTAACTGTTCTTCTCATCTTGTTAACCTCTACATATTATTTGATAGATAGATGATTCTTAATTTAATATTTGATGGTGATTTATAAGTGATCTAAAGCTGTTTATTTTTCTTCTATCCTTCCTTTTGTCAGGGTTTCTTGTCTCTGCTGATTCATACATGAACTTGCAGGTAATAATGCGTAGCCAAATTCAGTTTCTTGGGTAGTAATACGAGTTCAGAAGTAATTTTCATTCTTAGTTAACACTTTGGGCTTGTAATTTTCTTGGTTGTTGTTGTTGTTGTTGTTGTTGTTGTTGTAGTTAACACTTTGAGAGGCTTGGAATATATTTCATTCTTATACCTCTCTCAGACTTCGGGCTAAGACCAAGTGTATTTTATGTTTTTTGCAAACTAGTTAGGAAATGCTGAAGAATTTGTTGATGGGCAATCCACTGGAACCCTTGGAGAGATCTTGATCAGGTATTTTTCCATTAGTATTCAATTCATTCTCTCTCCATCTGTTCCGTTAACAAGGCTCATTTGCTATCTCTGTTCATCATGGCTTTAGTTGCCATATATCCTGCAAATAAAATACACATTCTTGCTCAGATCAAATGATCTTTGATTTTGGGTACAATGGAAAATGCATATAAACTAGTTGTAGGTGAATGTTCATCCCATTTAAAGCAAAGAAAGAGAAAAAAGCCAAGTAAAATGTTTTTTCTTTTGTTGAACTGTAAATCTAAAAAATGATTTATTAAGTTCGAAACTGAATATGTATTTCCCGTTCCTTTATTTCTTCCCGGATTTCTTTCCCTATATGTTTTTGCCTTCAAAATGGATCATGTTTACCTTTAAGTTCATGCCTCAGAATGGTTCATGTTTCCCTATAAGTTTATGCCCCAAAACGGATCATGAAGGGTAGTAGGAAAGATTATACATACAGGGTACGTCTTGTAATTATAGTTTGATAACAATCTCTAAATCTTATCTTTTCTGCCGCTTCTCATATATACAGATGTAATAATGTCCTATATCTTCGGGGGGTACCTGAGGATGAAGTGGAGGATGCAGCAGACCTTGACTAGGAGGAAGAGGCAACCACCTAAAAATTGGGAAAATGGCTTGTCGTTGGAGTATTGTAGTGGTGATGCCTTTATTAAGAAAGCAACGACACTGCAGATTATGAAATCAGCATTTACATCCTTTGAAACCATGTGGTTTAGATCTTTGATCTACCTTCAGCATCAGCTAGACTTGGACTTGGGCCGGGTCGGGCCCGGGCCGGCGGTTCTGAATAGCTGGACCCGGGACCGGCCCGGGTAGCCACCGGGTCCGATCCGGGCCCGGGCCTCGGGTTTGGTTAATTTTTTTTTGCTTACCTACCCATCCCTGACCCCCCTCACCCCCACCCCCAAACCCCTCCTAAACATCAAGCCCAACCCAGGTGGAGCCCAAACAAATGAAAAAACAAAAAAAATTCAATTTGGCCCGAACAGGGCCCGGGCCCGTGGGGCCTTGTTTTGGGTGACCCGAGCCCGGACCGGAAACCCATCGGGTCGGGCCTACCCGGACCGGTCACTGACCGGGCCACCGGTTCGGGCCGGGCTGGAATAGTACCGGTCCCGGGCCGGTTCCGGGTCGGGCCACCCGGCCTGAGTCCAAGTCTAGCATCAGCAATCTATTCTAGAAAAGTTATTAATATAATTCTTGTTCTTGTTTGGTCTAATCAGTCCACAGAGTAAAAATACAGAACATGCCTGATATTCAAATTTTACAAAGGGATAATTTGAGTTTGCACCCATTTTTTGTTCAAATTAGACTTTGCACCCCATTTTTAAAAAACTTTGTATTCGCATAATCGCATCTCCATTTACAATTCTGTTTGCACCTCGTATGAAAAGACAAAAATGTCCCTCCATTTACAATTCTGTTGGCCTTCAACATATACCCGATCGATGGACAATTTTGTCTTTTCATAAGGGGTTGGGGGTGCAAATACAAAGATTGTTAAAAATGAGGTGCAAAGTCCAATTTGGATAATATAATGAGGTGCAAAGTCCAATTTGGATAATATAATGAGGTGCAAATTCAAATTATCTCTTTATTAAAGCCGGAGTAAATGTGTAAAATTCCTTATAAAATTTACCCAGTATTATATTTGATTGAACAAAAATCCTTATAGGGGAGGGATGGATTGGGCCTGGGCGGCCTGACCCGGGATTGGTTAGTATCAGCCTGGGCTCGGTTTTCTGGGATTGGGACCAACCGGGCACTCGAACCAGCTTGGTACCCGGACTGGTGGGTATAAGGGGTGGTCATCGGGCTTGATTTTTGGGTTCGGGCTTGCTGGGCCTGATCCGTGCCCAATGGCTGTTTTTGTAACTTTTTAATTAAAAGAGTGGGTATCAACCTGACCTGGTCTGGTATTGTTTGGGACCGGAACCGGTACCGGAATTCTTGAATAACAGTCCCGAATCTACCTACCCCCACCCAAGAATTGGACAAGACCCAGCCCTAGTGCATGGCGTGTGTTTTGAAACTACTCTTTAATTCTCCCTTCAATTTAACTATTATTCACATGTAGATGAATTTTCTTTACAAAAATGAAAGTTGAAATTAGCAAATGCACCATAAATCCATAATACCATATACATTATTTCGGCCAGGTAGGTAAAGACGGTTTTGAAGCTCTAAATTTTACATCCATATCCATCATTTATGGATTTATAGACATAAAGTGAAAAAATGAATTTTTTAAAACCTGGTAGGTAAACCATCCAATGGTGCGGAAAATGTTGTGAAATATTTGTTGGATTTTATTTAAAATAAAAAACGTTACTAAAATGAAAAAAGAATTAGATCAAAATCTCTTCAGAAAAGGCATATTTTCTCCAAATACAACGAGACAAGGACAATAAAAAAATTTGTTGGTGGGGGGGGGGGAGGGGGGGGGGGGGGGGGGGCTAGACTTGACCCAAAATAAACATACATAAAAAAGTGAACAAACTAATAGAAAGGGGCTAACAACCAAATTTGAAAGAAGGAATCTCAAAATAATCCAAAGTGAAAAGCCTGTTTTGCTCGAATAGGAAGATCCACGGCTCTGTAATGAAATTCTAACTGGGTCGAAGCCTGATCCGCCAAATAGTGTGCGACCCAGTTCAACTCTCTCCCGCTATGCAAAAATGAAATTTTCTTACCACGGCAAAGGAGTAACATTTCCAAAATACCATCTCTAGCATCCTACTCGATCAACCACACATCGAACAGTCTCCATTGAATCCATCTCCACTTCAAAGTCGCTGAAGCCTTGGTCAATCGCCCAACAGATCGCTGTTAGAGTTGCGAAGACTTCCCATTTCCAAGGTTGAGGTTACCGAAAGGGGAAAGGGAAGAGAAAATGCCATTTCTCCTATTAAGTTTGAGCTTCTTAGTCGATTTAATCCATCTAAAGGCTCTCACAGATGTGCCCAATAACCTAAAGTTCTGGGGAACAAAATGTTCTTCATATAGAATCTTATCTACTGTACCAATCTCCAAATATGATAAGCTAGAAGCACAATTGCGTGTGTAAAATTTAATCTGAGTAATAATAATGCCCGGGTTAGAACTAGCATCTCCTGAGCCCCAGATTAAATTAAAAAAACTGAATTTATAGACATTTAGTCAGCCATTACTTTATTGGGCCAAACATAGACTAAAATGACTAGAATTGGGTCAATCAAATTGTGCATGCCTTGGATATATAGAGAATATGTAAAAAGAAAGAACTAATGAACAAAGAATGAATTGATGAACAAAAAGAACACAGATCATCAAAGGGCATAACAAGTAAAAAGTAAATTGTTCAAAGTAGGAGTAAGACATATACTCCGTGCTTCATATACAAAGTTTTAAATCATGACTAAATATTTTTTCTTCTCAAAGTATGATTTGTTTAGTCTGATTAAAATAATAAAAGATATGTTTATCCTATACACAGTGTACGTACTACCATACATGAGGAAAAGAGTGTAATTGAATAAGGAAGTTTTTAGTTGGACCAAAATTTGCTAGTCTGGTCTAGTCTGATGTGGTTTGATCTGGTCCGAACTGGTGTAATCTGGCCTGGTAAATGTCTGATCTCTGTGTATTTTATAACTATCCAAGTCTTAAGTCTAATCTGGTCTGAACTGGTCTGATCTGATATGGTCTGGGACTGACAACAGTCCAAGTAAAAATATCCTAAATGAGATATTTGAAAGTGTTTTGTTGAAAAGAAATATTTCAAAATTATAATTAATCGCATTGAACATGTACGAGATAGGGTTGTTTGGTAAATAACTGTTCAACACTAGCATTTTGAGATGAAATTGGTGAAATGGAAAAGCTGCAAACATGAGAGTTTTGGGTAGCATTTTTAGATATGACATTTTCTACTACTTTTTTTTGGCAAAATAGCTAAATTACCAAACATTTCCTAGCAACTCGTCAATATATTTGAGATTAATTATAAATAGACCGAAAACTAAATATAATATCAACCTTTTCACTTTTCCTTTCTTTTTTTCGAAAAATAGACTTACTATACTTTTCTTTTCATAAATAGACTCTCTTAGAACTCCAATTAGGAACTCTTGCTCCTTAATTAGAAACGGAAATTAGGTTGACAAAGTGAAAGAGTACTCACCAACGCTACATTAATAAGTAAAGTCATTACCTTCAAACTTGTTCAATTTTAAACACATGAAACTACACAATAAATTTCTTTAAAAAAAGTTAAAAATTAAAATATTTCTGTGAAAAGCTAAAGTAAAAAATTTATAAATTATATATATAATAAATATTTTCAGAAACATGAAACATAAAAACTTTTATAGACCAAAAAATTTTAAAAATAAAACTTCTAAATAATCTTGAAAATAAAACTTTTACAGACCAAAGAAGTTTTAAAATAAAACTTCTAATAAAATAAAAAATGAAGATATTGTCAAATAAAGCAAAAGACAACAAAATTTCTATAAATTTTCATAAAAAAGAAGATTTAAAAAATTTAAGGTAATTTCGGAAAAAAATAATATAAATGTACAATTTCTATATTAAATATGTGAAAATTAACATAAAAATACTGAAAATTTGATAAAACCGAACAAACATTAAAGAACATGAATTCTGTTATTTGAAAACGTTCTCAAAGGATAAAATAATTATATGAGATTTTTTTTAAAAAAAAAAAATTAAACAAAGTTCTTAAAATTTAAAAAAGTAAATTAAAAAAGTGTGTAAATATTGAAAATTGAAAACAAAAAGGTGAAAAAATAGAATAGCAAAAATGAAATATAAAAAAATGAAAAACTTGTAAATATCAGTTTATAAATTTTAGACATTATTATCATTTAATTGTTAGTTTTGTTGCATATTGTTATTTGTGTTTTTTATTGTTTCTTCCTGTTTCTTTTTGTTTATCATAAATCCAAATTTACCGTTTTAGGTGTTTATATGTGTGTGATATTTTCCCCCAAATATGTAAGGAATATAAATATAAATCTACATAAACAAAAAAATAAAAATCAATATCCAACATGATGTAACAAAAAACAACAAACACAAAAAAAGCAACACGATGCAACAAAAAGCAAACACGTGTACAATGCAACAAAGAGAAAGAAAAATAACATGTAAAAATATCTCAACACATATATAATTTAATCTCTTATTAAAATTTATTACATTCATCTATTACATCTATTGACTTGGTTCTCCTTGCTTCATATTCCTTTTATGCTGCATTTTGTCTCTTTTATCTTCATTTCCCTTGTCAATCTTCTCAACCTTGCATCTTAAGGTCGTACTCCTATTTGTCATTTTAGGAGCTTAATACTATGTATTTCTGTATTTCATAGAGTCCTAATAAATATATTTGCCAATGTGTGGGACGTGGAAGGTGGAACATTAGTTATTAAAATTTGATTTATCTAACCGTTGTAAATATATTTGTTCCTAAATAATTCATACATATATTACATTCGTAATATAATTTTTTAAATAAAATTATTGAACCAAGACTGACCGGTGTTGACCGTAATCGACCCGGAACCGGAATTACCGAATAGCAGTCCCGGATCTACTCCCCTCACCTAGGAATCGGACAAGGTCCACCCCTAGTGTATGGTGTGTGTTTTGACACTCCGTACTACTCTTTAATTCTCCCTTCAAATTAATTATTATTCACATATAGATAAATTTTCCTTAAAAATGAAAGTTGAAATTAGCAAATGCAAATATACATTGTCGGCCAGGTATAAGTAACAACGGGTTTGAAGCTCTAAATTTTTGACTCATATCCATCATTTGTATAGATTAATAGACATTTAGCCCGTCATTACTTTGTTGGGCCAAACAATGACTAAAATGACTATAGAGTTGGGTCAATCGGATTGTACATGTTTTTGGAAATATGGAGAATATGTAAAAAGAATGAACTGATGAACAAAAAGAACACAAATCATCTAAGGGCATAATAAGTAAAAAGGAAATTGTTCAACATACTAGTAAAACACAGATCCGTACTTCATATACAAAGTTTTAAATCATGACTAAATACATTTTCTTTTCAAAGTACGATATATTTAGTCTTATTAAAACAATTAAAAGATAATTTTATGCTATACACAGTGTACGTACTAACGTACATGAGTCCTATATATAGAATAAAAGATTGTAGTTGAATA